AGAAATTGTTACAAGGTACCTTTTAAAGGCAAAACTGTTGTATTAAATCCTCTTAGGCCTATCCAAGCCTATGAAAATTAACTAAAGATTTCTCAAGATTACAAGCAAAGGAGAGATCTCCTTGATTGTGGCATGGGTGAGAAAGAAAAGAAAGAGAGTATTAATTTACTTGAAAATCAATCAAAAGAGAGGAAAAAGAGTGGTGAGAAGGTGAGGAAAGAAAAAAATAAAATGGTGAGAGTGAAGGAAAATAGTGAAAAGAAAATATTATTATGTGGGAAAAGTGAGATTCAAGAGGCTTTGATGAGTGAGCAAGCTCTTATTGTAATTTCCAAGAATATTTATTTTTCTACTAACACTCTTGACCCCACTCTGCCTTCTAGTATTGTCTCTTTGTTGCAGGATTATAAAGATCTATTCCGTGATGAGATTCCTGATGGACTTCCTCTCTTAAGAGGAATTGAGCATAGGATAGATTTCTTGCCCAGAGTTGCTATTCCAAACAAGCCTGCTTATAGGGCTAACCCTGAAGAGACTAAGGAGATCCAACGCCAAGTAAAGGAATTGATGATGAAAGGCTTTGTGCGTGAGAGCCTTAGCCCTTGTACTGTCCCTGTTATCTTGGTGTCAAAAAAAGACAAATCTTGGAGGATGTGTGTTGATTGTAGAGCAATCAACAAAATCACTGTAAAGTATCATTACCCTATCTCTAGACTTGATGATATGCTTGATGAATTGCATGTTGCTTCTAACTTCTCTAAAATTGATCTTAGAAGTGGTTATCATCAAATTCGTATGAAAGAGGGTGATGAATGGAAAACTGCCTTTAAAACTAAATTTAGATTATATGAATGGTTAGTTATGCCTTTTAGTTTGACTAATGCTCCTAGTACTTTTATGGCATTAATGAATCATGTTTTTAGAAAGTTTATAGGCAAGTTTGTTGTGGTTTACTTTGACTGATCATATGAATCATCTTAAAAATGTGTTTGACACCTTGAGGGAATATAAGCTATATGCTAATTTTTAAAAGTGTTTCTTTTGCATAGACTCTATTATCTTTTTAGGATTTGTTGTTGGATCACAAGGAATTCATGTGGATGAGGAGAAAGTTAAGGCTATTCGTGAATGGTCAACCCCTAAGAATGCAAGTGAAGTGAGAAGCTTCCATGGTTTAGCAAGCTTCTATAGGAGATTTATTAAGGATTTCTCTAGCATTGCTGCCCCTCTTAATGAACTTGTTAAGAAGAATGTGACCTTCAAATAGGGTGAGACACAAGAAAGGGCTTTCCAAACCCTAAAGGATAAATTGACTAATGCCCCTTTATTTGTTTTGCCTAATTTCTCTAAAGCATTTGAAATTCAATGTGATGCTTCTGGTATTGGTATAGGTGCTGTTTTAATGCAGGATTCTAAGCCTATAGCTTACTTCAATGAAAAGCTTCATGGCGTAACTTTGAATTATTCCACCTATGACAAAGAGCTTTATGCTCTAAAGAGGGCCTTAGAAACATGGCAACATTATTTGTGGCCCAAGGAATTCATCATTCATTCTGATTATGAAAGTTTAAAGTTTCTCAAGTCTCAAGGTAAATTGAACAAGAGACATGCTCGCTGGATAGAATTTATTGAAACCTTTCCTTATGTGATTAAGCATAAGCAAGGTAAAGAAAATATCGTTGTTGATGCCTTATCTCAAAGGTATACATTACTTTCCTATTTGCATGCTCAATTACTTAGCTTTGAGATTCTAAAAGATCTTTATAAAACTGATTTTGATTTTAAAATATTTAGAAATCTTGTGAAAATCATGGATCTGGTGATTTCTTTAGATTTGATGGATTTCTTTTTAAGAAAAATAAATTATGCATTCCTATTTGTTCTATGCGTGAGTTACTTACTAAGGAAGCACATAGTGGTGGTTTGATGGGGCACTTTGGTGTAGAGAAAACTTCAGCTATTTTGTATGATCATTTCTTTTGGCCTCACATGCGGAAAGATGTCATATCTGTTTGTGATAAATGCATTAAATGTAGACAAGCAAAATCTAAGGTCCAACCTCATGGACTTTACTCTCCTTTACCCGTCCCCTCTCACCCTTAGGAACATATCTCTATGGATTTCATAATTGGATTGCCTAAATCTTCGCAGGCAAAGATTCCATATTTGTTGTTGTTGATAGGTTCTCTAAGATGGCACATTTTATTGCTTGTGCTAAGACTAATGATGCTGTTAACATTGCTGACTTATTCTTTAAAGAGATTATTCGTTTGCATGGTTTACCTAAGACTATTGTGAGTGACAGGGATGTGAAGTTTCTTAGTCACTTCTGGCATACCCTATGGCATAAATTAGAGACTAAGTTACTTTTTTCCACTACTGCCCATCCACAAACTGATGGTCAAACTGAGGTAGTTAATAGAACTATAACTACACTATTAAGAGCAATAATTCAGAAGAATTTGAAGAATTGGGTGAATTTTTTACCTCATATTGAATTTGCTTACAACAGGGCTGTTCATTCTTTTACTTCTTGTTCTCCATTTGAAATTGTTTATGGTTTCAATTCACTATCTCCTATTGATATTTTACCTTTGCCTTTCTCTGAGAATGCTAACACTGATAGCAAGAAAAAAGCTGAGTTTGTGCAGATTTACATGTTAAGGTTAAAGCAAACATAGAGCGAAAGAATGAGCTATATGCCAAGCAAGCTAATAAAGGCAGGAGACGTGTGATCTTTGAGCCTGGAGATTGGGTTTGGTTACATTTAAGGAAAGAGAGATTTTATAATCAAAGAAAGTCCAAACTTCAAGTTTGAGGAGATGGACCTTTTCAAGTTTTGGAAAGAATTAATGATAATGCTTACAAGATTGATTTGCCTAGCTCTTATGGCAATGTTAGTGCCAATTTAATGTTTCTGATCTATCTTTATATGATTCTGCAGATTTGAGGATGAATCCTTTCCAACTGGGAGGGAATGATGGACCTCATGGCACGGATGACATATCATTAATGGCAACGAAGCTTGAGGATGGTAATCATGAGCATGGTGACATGGAAGGAGCCCAATACTTCCAATCCAACGTACCTAAAGACCCATTACAATATATTGGAGGTCCAATGACAAGAGCCCGAACTAAAGCCATGAAGCAAGCCTTGTTCAGTCTTGTGCAAGAAATTCAAGAGCTTAGAGAGTATTGGGGCACTCCTCTCAAGCCTAAAGGAGAGCATCTATATGTGTATAATGTACTTAGGATCCAAACTCATGAAGAGTCAAGCCCAAGAGGTGCAGACCTTAGTCCAATGCAAGGAAGACTATAAGTTGAGCCTCTTGCAAGTAAGAAGGCATGAAACCCTAGTGAAGAAGTCAAGGTGACATGATTTTAAATCCTTTATGATCCCTTGATTGTCTCCTAAATTATTTCCTATTTTAATAGTCCTTTGATTTGATTTCCTATTTTGAGTCTAGTCAAAGGTTAGAATTAATTATAGTATTAATTTCTAAATTTTGTAATCCCATAATTTTAGGATCACATCTCCTAAATTATGTGGCTGAATATTTTATCATTATTTTATATTATTTCTCCTTTTAGTATTAGAAAATTAGGGTTTTAATTTTAGGAAATATTCTTTTCTATGAACCTATATAAATTAGGCATGCTCGCTCTTGTAAACAGAACAGAAGTTGAATGAAATTATTCATTTTTTGAGTTTATAACTCTTGTGAGCCTCAATGCTTTGTGGTGGCATCCCGTGTGAGAAACAGACGTGATCAAGAGCGTGATCCACTCTTGTGGTGTCTTCAAAGGTTGAGGTTCCTAGAGGCAGGTGTTCTAGAAGATCTTCTCCTTGATCGTTATCCTATTGTTTACCTCATATCTTTCTTTATTTTCATCATAAATCTCGTCTCTTTCCTTTTGTTCTTGTATTTTTATTGTATTTCAGGGTTCTGTCCCTAAACTAGCACGATTCTGCTTCCGCGTCCCATATCATTTATTCTTTCGGATCCTATATTCCATTCGGTCGTTGCTTTTTCCTCTCGCTCTGTGAGAGGAGTGAAATTGCTGGTTTCTCGCCCCTATCAGATAAAGGAAGAAGAGGGTATGCTTCTTTCCCAACTATAATAAAGCTCACTGAACTCAGCTAACGCTAAATCAGATCCCATCCCGTCAAAATCAATCCTATCTATAAAAATAACACGTAGCCGGGGACGAGTAACAAAATCCAATGGTTCCTTAGGGCAGGCATTACTATGAGAAAAGGTTGCCTCTCCAGCTGGGATATCATCCTTCAACAGGAAAGACTGGTCCTAAGGGCGCGTCCGTTATTATCATTTAAGGAATGTAGCAGGACGTGTTTGTGTGGAGTGTTGTGTATTAGTGGGGGTACACGTCAAACCGCGTGTCAAAATTGCTGATGTGGCTTCCTATTCCTCTGTGGAACCCGAAACACGTCCTTCTCATCTGCTGAAAACGGTGCATTTATTGTCGAATCTCAATACATTTGACTGCCTTAAGGAACGGATCTCAGAACTCGCTCACCCCTAATTTCTTTTTATACTAATAGACAGAGTCACGGTTAAAACTGTACAGACTGATTTGTACAATTATTTTTTCTTTACAGTGAATTGCATAGTTGCACAAAACTGTGTTTCAAATCAAAACAATAGTATAAATATAGCTAAAGATATAGATCGGATCAAAACCGAAGTGCGTACTAACTGATAGCAGTGCTAGCTTAATCTGTAATATTGAGTTCAAGCTCTAACATATAGCTGCATTATCTGCTTGTTAGGAAAGCTTTGATGCCTTTGATCCGTCATGTAATTTATACTTACATTAATAAATTAACAAGTGAAATAAAAAAAATAATAACTAATAATTTCATATCTTGAACAAAAATAATAAGTGAATGGTACATTAATCTTTTTACTGTAGAAATTATTTTCACTTCATTTTTTCTGAATTCAACTGAAATTTTATATTTTTTTAGGATCCACTAATAATTAAATCAAATCATTTGTCTTTAGTTAAAATTATCCTTACAAAAAATTAATCAACTAGAGTAGATGGCCTGGCCCAAAAAGAAAAATGAAGAAAATTGTAGCCGCAATCCACAAGGCATTGTACTTTGGAAATAAAATTAAAGACATTTTTTAAATTAGTCTAATCGAATAATGATGCACGAGATGTTGCTTTTGCTCATTCTATTCAAAGCTTCATTTGCCAAGCATTGAGCAGCTTCGTTGGGATTCTCTATGTGCCTTATGAGATTCACTGCTTCTTGATTCTTCATCACCTGCATATGCTTATATAAGAGACTCATCATCGATCATTATCATTCCAATTGAATTAAAAAGGCAAGGGGATAATCAAATATTTCAAAAAGATAAATCAATCTCATTTATTCTAAGATTAAAGAGTAATTTCATCCTTAAACTAAGGTTATTGGATGTTTGGGACTTTAAACTCATTTTATGTACAATATGTTCTCCTCAACTTTGAAAAACAGTGTAATTTTACCCCTACCACTAACAAAAGTTAATTTTAACAATTAATTGACTAAAAAATTAGTTAACAAAATTTAATTTTAATAATTAGTTGATTAAAAAATTACAAGAAGAACTTCAAAAATTAGGAAAAGAATAAAAAAATTACCCAAAATAATTAATAAGGATCTAAAAAATTACAGAAAAATGACCAAGATAATTTAGGTCCATTTCTATAATTTTTTTAACTAATAATTAAATTTAACATTTATTAATAATAGAGACAATATTATACCATTTTAAAAAATTGAATAAAAACTTTGTATAAAAAATGAGTTCATATAAGATCTCAAATGCTCTTAAACTTATAATTTAAAGAAAAATTTGTGATTTCACCCTTTATCCTAAGAAATGTTCGAATTATGAAGCATTACGACTTACGTCCCATATGCCATTGGTGGCTAAGATCAAAAATTCAGTGTCAGAATCGATCCTTTCAGCTCTGACCGCAAGTTCTGAGCTTCTGGACTGTCTTCTATCACCAGCGTCTGATGATTCACATGTCATCATACCTATAATATATTTTCGTGCATTACCGGAAATGTTAATTACTATATATCACTATAGTTAAGTGCATTTTTCAATCTAAATAAATCTTGTATTATTGGTATTGGAGATAAATAAACAGAGTATAAATTGCAACAAAATCAATTGTAACAAAAATCGCAGATGGGAGGAGTTGAACGCCTTTGGTATATGGTTCCTCAACTTTTCTTTCCTTCATCATTTTTTCCTTATATCGTCTTATCATTGCTTTCCTCTCCTTCTTCCCCTTTCTATTTATTCATCCATAGACTTCATCTCTTTCCTTTTGTTTTTCCTTCTTGTCATTGTTTTTTTTTTCATTTCAAATTTTTTTCCAGCAACCTGGTGAACTGATTAACCCAATGGGTTGGCCAGTTTTTTCATGGTTAATTCGGGGTTAACTAGGCTAAATTGAGTTGCTTTAATTCTGATTCACTTCCTTGTCTGAACTGGCCAAGAGACCAATTCACCAATTTACTAGTTCACCAGCTAGTCCGGTTTAGATTTAAATACCATACTTTTTCAATTAAAAATAGAAAAAAAGATATTGAATGGCCAGAAATTCACCTCATGCACTCACCCAAAGAAACATATGAAATAGGTTTGACAACTATCTCTGGATTCAAAATTTATCAATATTATATCATTTAAATTAGTTTTAGTCATATTATTATTGTCTTCGTTCTTATTTATTTAGATCAAACGCTATCTGATGTGAGAGATTTTTCACGACTGCCTTATAATTGACTGTAATATTTATTTTCTAATTAATATCATCAGCATATCAATGATGTAAAATATGAAATTGAAGGTAAAATACACTATTAATTAAAAAACGGTGAATTTACAGTAGGGATGGTAAAGTGCAATTTTTGAGTCACACAGCAGTAGGGATGTTGTTATTAAAATTATAATTATAATTTTATCTAAAATTAAATCAGAACCATTGAAAAGATTTGATAACAAAAGAAAAAGAAGGGAAGATAACAGTAAGAGAAAAGAAAAAACCCTTTATCCGAATTTACGTACCTTTAAAGAGCTTGCGAGTCCAATGGGGTGCTTGTTGGGCGGTAGGGTTTGTGTGATAAGCAACCCCATCTCTGCACACAACAGCCTTGCAATGTCCGATGTGAGCTGTCATGAGCTTTTCGCCGTTGATGACTATCGCCGACACCGCTGAGCCGATCCGGTGACTCATCCTCTCATCCTCCGATCTCATCTTTGCTCTCACATTCAGGTATGCTCTCTTCAGGGTCTCCTTGCATTTTCTAGTTATATGAGACTAGTACCAAAAACATATGTAATCAGATCAAATCAATCTACATACGTACGAACTCAAAAATACTTCACTTCTTCACCTCTCACGTAGAGAAGAGAAGAATAGATATCATTTATGACTTAGCTAGGCTACACAAATACCCTTGTTGACTTATTCTATGGTCACATATCTTTTATTACATACTTATCCGATTTTCTTTATAAGTCATTTCTATCAACCTCATAATATCAATACAAAAAAAAAATACAAAGAATAAAAGTGTATAAAATTTCCAATATGCCCCCATATAACAAATTCAAAAAGTGATTTTATGTTACTTTTTCTCTCTCATGAAAGTAATTTTAAAAATACTTTTTAAATATTATCTAAAAAATATACCATGACTTATAAATGGGACCAAATGAACCTTTTAAAATATACTTTATAAATGAGATCAGAGGGAGAATTGATCAAGCAGTAGGTCAACATTTCACTATATATAATTTTTGAGATAGATATGAAACAAAATTTGAAGACATGGGCTGTCAAGGATGCGAACTAGAAATATTTCCCGTAAATTCTCTTTTTTTGGGCCTTATTTTAGCGCCCCCTCGTGTTGAAAAGGAAAAAAAATAGTACAATAATGAGCACTAACAAATATTTGTGTTGTCTTTGTCTTGCCCTACTGCTTTCTCTTCTATAAATAAATATTTTCTCCTAACCTACCAATGCATCTCGTTTGGGTGCTTATTACTCCATCAAGGATAAGCACCATAGTAATCATCAGCTTTTAATGAGACTTGGATCATTTAAATTTCATTTGGACTTTTCAGTTTTAAATTTTAATTTTAATATTTATTTTATATTTAACAAAATAAAAAATTATAATAAATTTCATCACCCATCCAGCCAATATAAATTTAATCCTGACAGTTCAGTTTATTATTAAATTTTTTATATTTTTATAAATTGATTATCTAAATGTCATCTAAACAGTCCTACTTTAATATCATTTTTTATAATTTTTATAAATATTTAAAATACAATATTAAAAATGCAGATAATCTCCTAACTGAAACTTTTAAAATTATTTTTAAAAAAAATTACATGTTACAAAATTTAAATCTAAACCACAATAAATCTGAATTGTTAATTTATAAAACAATTAATAATATATTTGGACCATCTAAATTAAATTTAAATTTTCCAAATTGGTTATAAATGTTGATAAAGCATATTTATCACACAAAAAATTATAAAATTTATTTTAATAAGTATAAAAAAATTAAAATTAAAACCTTTAAATCTCAACTACCAAAATTAAATATGGAGGATCAAATTTTCATTATGATCTAAGAGTGATGATCACTATAGTGGCCCATTGACAAGCACTGAATAATGTGTGTGGGTGTGAAGAACATAATGCATCATCATTGACGATAAATTATTTGAGATATACAATAAAGTTAGAATTAATATGATAAACAAAATAAAATGATGAAAGAAGACTATTTAAATTTTAGTTAGTTTGTTTTGATGATCGTGAAAAATTTGATAGTTTTGGAATTTAAGATCTATAGTTTATGTTTTCACCAATTTGTGCCCTCTCTTAAGAGATTATTTATCATGGAAGGAGATCCTCTCCTCATCTCTTCTCTCCTTTTCCTCTCCTCATCCCCATCTCCACTTTTGGTTAAAAAATAAAGGGCTCAGATTCAATTATTTTATAAAATAATCATCATAATATTATATTAAAAATAAATAAATAATTTTAAACTGTTAAAATTTAATCTACATAGTTTATAATTGCAATAAAATAATTAAAAAATTAATTTATAAAACAATTTTATAACAGCGTACAACTGTAAATTATGCAGGTCAAATTTTAATGGTTTAAATTTATTTTTATTTTTATGTAATAATATGACAATTATTTTATAAAACAAATAAAGCTGGACAATTCATTTTATTATTTAAGGGTGAAGATGAGAATGAGGAGAAGAAAAGGAGAGAAGGGATGAGGAGAGGATCTGGACCGATTTATAATTTACTCAATGATCTCAAACCCTTACTCTACCACATTTAAAAATGCATTAGGGATTATATATATGCTATGAATTATTTTTCGTCATCTAATCAATCAATGAATGAATTTAGAATGAAATTTACTAAATTAAGTAGCTAGTGCTATATATATATATATATTATTAAATATTAAAGACTTAACAAATCCATAATAGGGCTGACCACTCAAATTAATTAAATAGTGTTTATAAAGATATTTACAAACTATTCACAAACAATAACAGATGTCACACACCCATAGAAAAATATAAATATTTAAGGTAGTGTTTGGAAGTTTTTTGGATGGAATAAAATGAGGTGGGATGATGGCTAGAAATTTTATACCACTGTTTAAGAGAATTTTTTAAAAATAGTGGAATGGTTTATGATGGACTTCCTAGTTCCAACTTCCAAGTTATTCTTAATCATCTTAAACTCTCTCTCTGTTATTTTTTAAGCTTCATTGTTTGGGAGTCAAAAATGCAATGGCCTTATAAATAAATAATATTATGACAAAATTACTGTTATCTAATTTCAAATTTATTAATGTCATAATAATTCTTAATAATGATTAAATAAAATTATTGATTCCTTTAATAAAACTACCGAACAATAGAATGCCTCATTCTATACATTTCGTCTCATTTCATTCCATTAATAACTATTTCTTTTTGTTTTATCATATATTCTCAAACATACCCTAAATTATGAGTCACAGTTTTATCAATTGAATCAACTTGTTTGATTGACTAAACAATGCAAGTTAAGGAACATTTAATTTAAAAGATTATTACTTACCTCTTTAAGCTGCTTCTGAAATAAATGGGATTGCATGTACTTGGTGACGCCATCTCCGATTAGAGCATCAAATATTCCGAAACACCAAAGTTCTGTGTTTTCCCTCTGTTCTCTCTGTATCACAACTGAATCACACTCGTCTTCATCGGAACAGTATCCTCCAATTACTCGCCGATCGATCACGTGATATCCATGTGACACTGGGTTCATCCATGAAGGCTGCTTCTTTATCTTTCTACGTCTCTTGCCTCCATTAATCCTCCACACTATTCGCCTTAGCCTCAATCCCTATGTTCTCAAATCGATGAACGACAAGCAAGTATGTGTTAATTAACAAGTTTATAAGAATTCGAATTAAGGGGGCAAAAAAAAAAAAAAAAACCTTACTTGGAGGGATGAAATTATAAAGGCATACTACCTTGAGCTTGAGATGAAGATCTCTGAATCTCATGTATGATAATTTGACTGTTTCTTCATATGGAGAAGAAAGACTTAGCTTAACCCTTATAAAGTTAATTTCTGGGTAGAAATGTTCTTTAACAAACGTTTTGGGTCAAATTCAAAACAAACGTTGAAGTCTTTGAAACTGTGCGCGTGAGAATTGAATTGAATTGGTGATTAATAATAATTGACTTTGATCAGCTGTTAGAGGCAAACTTTAAATATAAAAATAACGTTTTCAACGGTAAGATATTATCGAACATTATAAAATTAAACCAAACCTTTCATGCTGCCAACTAACGACCAGCCCGAAATTTATGAACATTTTATTTTATTTTATTTTTTGGACCTGAAATGAACATTTTTTTTATATCACATTGCTTTTTGTCTGTTGTGATACGTATTTCTGTTTTGAATATTCCGTTTTAATTATAAACAAATAATATTATATGGATTACTTAACTGAAAATATTCGTATTCCCTAATCAAAATTAAAATATTAAAGCATAACTTTTTTTCCTTTGACTTTATACAATGTTTCATTTTGATCATTTGATTTTATAAAGTATTTTTTTTAATCCTTTAACTCTAACACTCTTAGTTTCATAAAAAAAAATTACATTAAACTTTAAAATATTGACAAAACATTCTCAAATGTTGAAATATTAAGTTTACAATTTTTTTAAAATAACAATGATTAATATAAAAAATAATCATTTGAAATTAATTATATTAAGATTAAAGGACTACAAAGATACTTTGTAAAATTAAGTTATTAAATTGAAACTTATAAAGGACCAAAAGTATAGTTTGGCCAAATTAAAAATAATATTTTTTATATTTTCAAATTCAAAAAATTTTCAATTACCAAAAAAAAAAGTAAAAATCTCAGACGTAACGTTATACAAGAAAATTCCAAAACTCTTACCACTAGTGTATAAATGCTTAACTAAACCAGTTACAACTATTTATTTAAACTGATTCTACAACCGGTTTAGATAAGACCCGTTTAGATATGTGAAGGATATCTAAACCGGTTATACAACCGGTTTAGAAAAAGGGATATTCTAAACCGGTTTAGATAAAAGGTAAATAAAAAGATTTTATTTTTTTCACATTTTAAAAATACACTTCTAAACCAATTTTGATATCATAACCGGTTTAGATATGAATAACATCTAAATCGGTTGTGGTCACAACCAGTTTACAAACATTGCTTTATTAAAAAAAAACCATTTCATTTTTTCACTTAACCCACTAATGATAGGATGCAAACCTGCAAATTAAATGCAATATATATATCTAGCCAGCCAGAATACAACCCAATTCAATCAAATTAATTTAAAAATATTTACAATTTCATTTAATATTCAATATCCAAATAAATGCAATAATTTTTACTAATTCAACTACACCTATCCTAAACTCACTCATTAAGTGGATTATTGTTGTGAAGCTCTAACATAAACAGTCCCCAATGTCTTCTAATTTCTTGGATCTCTAATTGTGGAAATGGAGATGAATCATTAAACATCTGAAAAATCAAGGAGAAGGAATTTAAGTTAGCAATTCCAAGTGAATAAAAGATATATTAGATCTCTAAAATTAAATTTACCTCCTCAGTAAACTCTGTCAAGCTGGCCGTGATGATGTTGTACACGTGTCTCAACACATAAAAGCCACACAAGTTAGTAGGGGGTTGACGACGACTCTGTAGAATAACACAACATTGTCAAGTTTAAATTCAAAGAAAGCTCTCCAAAAGAAATTATGATGATAGATATTAATTACCTTTGGTTCTATCCATATAGGATCCTTGACATCACGTGGGGCCTTGCCTAACCGAACTTGCTGGCCAATCCTCATAGCCCTATCATCAACATCACATAGTTAGTAACTTAATCAAATAGAATAATGTATTATGGAAACACGCTTACTGTTCACAAGACTTCTTCATTCCCGGATTGAGTTTACGATGTAGAGAACATAAAAAAAAGATAGAATTGCTCTTCATCGAAAACACTATCAATTGCTAATGTGTACTGCAAAAAAAAAGTGATTTAAGCAAATATTCAATACTATTACAAATAAATTCAAATATGTTTACTTACAGATAGAGAAACAAGGAAAAGTAACACTCCTTGTTGCCTTCACTAAGCCTCTGATTCATGTATTCCTCTTTTGTCTCTTTGGTGGTCTCTTTATCATTAGTGCAACGTGGGCAAAGAAATCCGTATTGTTTGTCTTTGCTTGAGAAAACCAACATTTGATGCAAAAACCTATGATAGTTCAAACAAGTTAATTCTAAGAGCTCAATTGTTCAATTTCATTTAAATTTACACTTAGAATAAGATACTTACATCATTCCAATTTGAATGCTCGTCATAGTTTGGTCACCATCAATGAGAATCCGGCCTAGATCCTTATTCTCAACAAAAAATTTGTAGTTGTTAATGCCAACAAGATCAGGAACTGCTTTAAAAACTCTGGGAGGAAATGATCCACCATATGCCAATAGGACAAATTAGTCCCACGGACTCAACTCGCGTAACTGTGTCTTTCGACCTACTTTATCAAATGATGGAGTCTCTTGTTAAATTAAAAAAATTTAGTAAAATGTGCTTAAATTTAAGGAATGCATGACAATTAATTAATTCTATTACCAGATATTGAGGCATCCTAATAAGTCTCTTTAGCCATAAGGTAAAAGTTCCCTTAGCATCTTTTACTGTCTTAATCTCATCAGTAGGGAATGGGACATGAGCATCATCAATTTAGACCTTTTCAATGTTGACCTTGACAACATCTTCTTCAACTTTCTGGAAGTGGCATTTCAACCCCTTATGGATGAGACCGCGTGCTACTAAGTGTTTCTTTGGATCTTCCACATATAAGAAGCATAGCTCAAGGTCAGGAGCTGGGTCATCCTCTGAAGGAAGTGGAACGATGTTACTTCTTTTAGTGCTCGGATGACAAGCAGGAGAGTGGGTATATGGGGCACTTGACTACTTCTGTGAGCTCATCATCATTAACATTTCCTCCTTCATCTTTTGCAATTTAGCTTCAAGGGTAATCTCAGCATCTGCCCTTGCCTCTGCTCTTGCTTGAGCTAGTATCGCAGTCATCTCCTCCCTTGTCACAAGTCCTGAAGAATGGCATTGATGAGGTGGTCCAAATACATCCCTTATACTCACCCCTGATCCGACTCCCCTAACACGTCCAAGATGCTCTGGTTTCCCTATAGCTACAGTCAAGATGTCATTCCTTCCCTCTGGAATGAATGATCCATCAGATTGTTTTTGTTTAAGCTCATTCTGTAACATACAAATAACAAAAACAAACAATTAGTAATATTTTTATGTTTAAAAAAATACACAAAGGCAAATTGCTATACTTACAATTTTGGTAGCAACATCACGAGCTTACTCGCTTGAAAAGGACCCATCCTTCTTTTGATGAGCATGGATCCATCTCTCATCATGACGTACTGGAGATGGTGGAGATAGTAGAATTGAAGGATCAGATTGAGCTTCTTCTTCTCTCTTCATCCTCTTAGCCTTCATCAAGACTTTATCAGCCAAAGCATAACCTCCATGAGACATTGTTTGGGGACAATTATTCATTCTCCCAATCTCTTGTGTCCTTCTCCTTCTTTCCTGTGAATTAAAATTAACAAAACACATTAAATTAAATGAACTAATAGAAAATAAATTAAAATAAACCTACTCACCAAAGCCTCTGGCGTAGTCCGAAGCCTAAAGAATTCTTCAAAAGTAGCTGCATCCAAAAATGTATGCTGCATGCAAAGATCAGGCCAAGGCTGTCTTTCTAGCACCTCAACATGCACATATCTACAAGCTAGTGATGTCTTGAAACTCCTCCAACATTCAGAAGCCCAGATCATCAACCTTCGCTTAAAGTCTGCACTAGTAGGGACTTCGTAGGTGACCTACAATATGTGCATTACTAATTGTTAATGACATAGTAATAATAATTAGTAACAAGAGATGAAAATGCACTTTTTATACATTGATGGCTTCCCAAATCTATTCTTTCACACGTTCTAGGACATCATCCTATATGGGTGCTAATATACTCAGCTTGTTGCGAGCTTGGAGGGCTGCAAAACTGGTATACTTGGTCGCATTAGGCCCGATTGGCTTCCAATTGTTATCAAACTGAATTGGAATCTTTTCACCTCTACTTCGACTCAAAGCCACCTCTCTTAATCGTGTGCCACTTCTAGGTCTCCTCGTTCATGCAGATTAGTTGCTAGGCATGATTTGGTCTCCTGTTGCAGGGATGCTCTGGTCACCAGTAGTAGACACAATCGGAGTAGAAAGGTCGGGTTAGCCCTGATTAACACTTTGATCCTCCATGATCCTGTTTAAGCAATAAATAAAATTCATGAGTGATATCGCCAATAAAACATGTTCTAATATGAATCAAACACAAGAAATAACTACTTTAATAAATCATACATGTTCTAAAATAAATAATGCAAGAAATAACTAATTTAAAAAATCAAACAAAATGATAAATAAATAACTAACTTTTAAGATAGTTTTAAATAGTGATATTCTCCCATATCCCTTCACGGTGATCATCTCTTGTGCCATGTTCATCATCCACTTCATCTTCTACATTCATTACAGGTAGGCCTCTTGAGAAAGAAGGAGTCTCGAAAATATTGAAATTTGGACAATCCTTCCCATCAATATTAACCTCTCTTTTTCCTTCGAGAGCCACTGACCATCTTTTATTTCTCGAATCTGTGACATAAAATAATTGTTTTGCCTGGTTTGCTATAATAAAAGGTTCATTTTCAAAACTTAAATTATTCAGATTGACTAATGTAAATCCTAACCTATCATGTTGAATACCATTGTTAACATCAACCCACTTGCATTTAAAAATGGGGATTCTAAATTTAATATAGTCAACCTCCCAGATCTCTTCAATAACCCCGTAATAAGGCATGGATGTGAATAAAGGATTCTGGTCTTTTGAACTAGAGAAGTGCATGCCTAAGGCCACAAGCATAACACCACTATTCTGCACATTACACCTATTATCTAAAGACTTTGTGTAGAATAAATACCCATTAATTTCAAATGCAGTCCAGCATATAACATCACATTCAGGACCTTGTGCTAGGCCTTTAACAATATCAGAAACACAATCTTCCTTCTCAATCTTATCTTTGAACCACTTTGCAAAAGTATTATTATGTTCCCTAATCAGTCTTTGTTCATTCATCCTAGATCGACTATTTTGCTTCCTCACAAGTTCTTTATGCTCACTTATGTAGCCTTGAACTTGATCAACATTATCCAAGATGTGTAAATGAGCTTGTTGCAATTCATGAAGATCCACACTCTTTACAGAAATGCCGCGTCTATGATCTTTGACATCACATTGTCTCAATCTAAGGGATCGTACATTATTCAAGTAATCTTGGCAAAATTCTGCCGCTTCTTCAGAGACATATTTTTGAACAATGGATGCTTCAGGATGCTGTGGACTCTTCACATACCCTTTTAGGACTTTTAATTTTCTTTCAATTGGGTACATCCATCGTAAATGAACAGGGCCACACAACTTTATCTCCCTCACTAGATGAACAATTAGATGTATCATAATGTCAAAAAATGATGCAAGAAAGAGTTTTTCAAGTTGGCACAAGATAAGATATGCTTCCTTTTCCAGTTCATCCAATTCTTCAATCTCATGGACTTTACGGCATATAGCATTGAAGAAAAAGCAAATTCTAGTTATGACATCTCTCAGTTCATCTTTCCTGAAATCTTTAATAGCCATCGGGAGTAGTTGTTGCATTAAGATATGACAATCATGAGACTTGAGGCCTACTATTTTCAAATCCTTCATCGACACAAGCTTTTTCAAAATTTGAAGAATATCTTGAGGGAACTTTCATGTTGTGCAAGCAATCACAAAAGCTTCTTTTCTCATCCTTGCACAATGTATGTTTAGCCGAGGGATAATAAGTTCGCTTACCATTTAGCCTTGGGTGTAAGTCTTCATTAATTTTCATATCTACCAAATCTAATCTTGCTTTCACACCATCTATAGACTTGCCCAGTATATTGAGAAGTGTTCCAATAATACTATCACACACATTTTTCTCCACATGCATAACATCAATATAATGCCTCACATCAAGATAGTGCCAATATGGATGGTCAAAGAAGACAGACCTCTTTTTCCATATATTTTTTTCACTAGTCTTTATAGCTTTACTGAAGGAAACATTGATGTCTTTCACCAATTCATAAACCTGCTCTCCTGTCAATGGCTTTGGGGCAGTTTCATGTTCTTGGCCGCCATAAAAAGCTTTCTTCATTTTACGATAACGGTGAACCTCTTCAAGAAATCTCCTATGGCTAAGGTAGACTATCTTCTTTCCATGATGAAGTTGATAGTAACATGTGCCTTCTTCACAAATTGGACATGCTTTATGCCCCTTAATACTATAACCTGACAAGTTTTCATATGCAGGAAAGTCATTTATGGTGCAAAAGATTATCACACGTAGCTTGAATACCTCCTTCTGATTCGCATCAAACATGTCCACACCTACCTCCCACAGCTTTGTCAAGTCTTCAATCAAGGGTTTTAGGTACACATCAATGTCATTCCCTAGTTGTTTCGGTCCCGAAATGAACATAGATAACATGATATACTTACGTTGCATGCATAACATGGGGGATAAGTTGTAAATCACCAATAAAATAGGCCATTAGCTATGTATACTACTAAGGCTACCGTAAGGATTCATGCCATTTGTACTAAGTCCAAGCCTGAGGTTCCTTGGATCAATGCTAAACTCGGGAAACAATGTATCAATTTTCTTCCATTGTTCCGAATCAGCTAGATGTCTAAGCTTTCCATCAAAAATTCTCTCATCCACATGCCATCTTAGATTCTTTGCATCCTTTTCATTAGCAAACAACTATTGAAACCTCGGTATAATTGGAAGATACCATGGTACCTTTGTAGGAGCTTTGTTCTCTTTATACCTTGGTATCTCACATATCAGACACTTCTGCTCCTCTTTATGCTCTTTCCTATACAATATGCAGTCATTAGGGCATGCATGTATTTTCTTAAATTTCATGCCCAGTGGACATAGAATTTTCTTTACCTCATAGTAACGAACCGGCAACATATTCTCTTTCGGAAGCATTAATTTCAACAACTTAGGCATTTCTGTGAAACTCTTGTCGCTCCACTTGGATCTAGCTTTCAAGTTTACCAATTCTAACACTGCTTTCAATAGATTATATTCCTTGCAACCTGGGTATAAAGGTGTCTCTACATCATTGCACATATTATTATACACCTGGGATTACTCAAAGGCCTCTTTACCTACATCACAAATCATGTCCTCCAATCGATCAGTCATATCATCATTATCATAGTCATCATCAACATCTCGAGATTGAGATGTACTTGGCATCGGCATGTTCAATCTTTCACCATGCCATATCCATACTTTATAACTTTTAAGAAACCCCTTACAAATTAAGTGTTCATATATATCATTTACACTTAACCGACTCTCATTTAAACAGTCCCTACAAGGACAAGAAAACCTCTCACTATCATCTTCAGCATTGTTTTGAGAAAATTCTAGAAACCCCTTAACCCCATTAACATATTCTGTACTTGTTCGTTTGGCATCTATCCAACTACGATCCATGTATAATTTGACCTCCTAAAACATAATAGAGTTCATGGATTATTACCAAATCCATTACAATAGGGCCAAACAAAAAGTTCTAAAATAGAGGAAGGGAAAGGCAATTCTATATTATTTAGCTCTTTCCATATAAAGGAAGGGGCAAATAATAAGTTTTAAAAAAATTTTGACAAAGTCTTCCCTAAAAATTGGACTTCTCAATAATTTTACAATAGAAATTCAATAGCACAACTTAACGAATCACATTCCAACCAACAACAATACCTAAGCTAAACTAATAATCTAAATACGAACTTCGGGGCTAAATAATAAGTTCAAAAAAATTTCGGCAAAGTCCTCCCTAAAAACTGGACTTCCCAATAATTTTACAATAGAAAATATAATAGCACAATTTAACAAATCACATTCCAACAAACAACAATACCTAAGATGCACTCAAGATACGGGAAAGAGAAAACAAAGAAATTCATATAGATAAGGAATTTGTAGGAAATTTATTTGTGTCTAGTTTTATAACATATAATTTATTAGATTATAAATTATGGAAAGTGAGGGCACACATGGAATTCTCCATTATTATATAGAAATGTTTGGGAATACAAAGGAAAATTTAGAGAAGAGAAAGTCAAAGATGGTAAGAATTAAATTAAAAACATTATTCTTTGTTTAACTAAGAGACATCTTAGGTTATTGGGTGGATTATGGAGAACCCTAATCATAATAAATAAGTTCAAGTTATATTCAATGGACATCAATTTAACATTTTAAGAAGGAGAGTACAAAATTAGAGATGATATATTTATTGATGTTTATTCAAGTCTAATGGGTTATTTTATGGTAATCGACATTTACCATGTATTTGATTGAGGAAAAAAAAACCCAATATGAGATATTAAAAAGACATATTTTTCACTTATAATTCAAAGGGAAAATGTAAATGAGTGGGAATTAGATCTCAAAATATGAGACTAAATAAAAGAGGAATTGGATTATGTGTCACCAAGATAATTAACTCTATTTAAAATGTGAATAGATGTGTGGCATTGCACGAAATTAGGAGCAAGAGGAGGGATTAGGTAATGACATGGGAAAATTGGAAAAGAAGGATTATATGGCAATAGAAGAATTCAACCGCCAACCTTATGCTGTCATCTTTATTTATTGATTATTAGTTCCCATCAAGTTTATTATTAAAACAAATGAAAGAGGAAGAGGGAAGAGAATAATTTGTGTGCGTGGGCTGTCATCTCACTCTCAAATCAAAGCTTCAAAGACAATGAAATAAGAAATGAACTATAAATGAGTTGTACTATTTCCACAAGCCATTAGATTATACAAAGATACACGAAAGTGAGGTAGTGAAAGTTTTATTAGGTGGCAATGACTTTGGGTTAGGTGGCATGAAGATAGATTTGAATGAAGTAAGAAGAGTTGAGGTGGCAACAAGTGGGTTTTTCAGATGCACTTTTGGTGGAAAAAATATATATATATATATATATATATATGTATCACTGCCCATTTCCATCTAATACAACTATATATATATATATATCCATTAGCCTTATACACATTCATTCTTTCTTTCCTTCTGCAACCCAAAACCAAGAGAGAGTGAGGAAAGTTGGAGAATTATGGGAGGAAGAAAAGGAGAAACTGAAGAACAAGCTAAGTGATTTAAGGTAAGAAGAAGGAAAGCAAAGTTAGAACACATATAAGGTAGCAATCTTGCACTTTACTTTTGTATGTATTGGTTGCTTGAGTAAGTGTTGATGTGATTATGTGCTTTGATTGTTTTAGAAAGAGTTTGTTTCTCTAATGTAAGCCTAAGAAGAATTGAACTCAAGATTCAATATGATGAATGTTCTTCTTCATGATTCTTCTACCGTGATTATGGTTATGTGCTTATAAGGCATGATAATTTATTTGAACTGACCATGTACATCATAAGTAAATGTAAGTTTTGCTATTGAGATTATTATAATCTCACCCTCCAAAAGTTTATTAACCATGCAAGGATCAAACTCAAGCGAAAACAAAGGCAAGACAATTTAGGAAATTTGATTCCATGGTAAATATTGTTGTGCTGAATTTGTATTAATATTTTCACAAGTGCATGAAATTATGGAGCTGCATAGTTGCTGGAACTTGCTGTGGAAATATGTTAGTTAGTATTTCAAAATCAAAGTTGTTTTATTTTGGTGGTATGTAATGACTCAAAACATGCCAAGTCTACCTATTTATAACCAAATGACTATGTGAATGTTGTTAATGAGTATGCTTGCATAATAGTTAGTTTCATGTTCATGCTGGAGCTGGAAAACCATGAATATTTGTTCCTAGACAGAACACGTTTAGAGATTTAAAAGGACACCAACATGACTTTATTTGAATCAGTAGTACTTAAGATGTGATTTTTCAAACATGCAAGTTCAGCAATATGGGTAAAAGTTGGTGCAAGAACAGGGAGCAACATTTAACCAAAACTCTGTATCAACGGAGCTATCCAAAGTCAGTGATAAATTTTATGATTAAACTAGACATTCAAAGATTAATAGAACTTGGAATGATGCTATTTGGAGTCATAGAACTTAAGTTATGAATTTTTCAAGATAAAAAAGAGAATCAGTGGTAAGTGAAATGTCTTATGTACAGAGTTGGCTTTACCATTGAAAATGGGACAACTGAGACACGCAACGTCCTGTATAATAATTTCAAATTATGGAAAACTGGATAATATCTCCATAAAGCCATAGATCATATTAATTAGGTTCCTATAGCTCATGTTATGTATTTTCCAAGTTAGAACATAAAATCTGGATCCAGAATAGAGTCCATATGAGATAGTCTTAAATACTAATAAAACTGTATCAAGTGAGAACCGAAAATTATGTTCCATATTTTTCCCGTATAGTTAATGCCAGAATGTTTCCATAGAGTCCAAGATCATATCAATTGGAGTTCTATGTCTCTAGATATGAATTTTATGAGATAGGATACATTAATCTGGACTCAGTATGATTAAGAACTATGCAATTTTGAAGATTCATTAAACTGTACTAATTGGAGAAGTAAAAGTTGTGAGCCATATTTTTATCTAATAAAGGACACCTAGGGCTTTACAATAAGTCCTAGATCACCTAATTTGGATAAGTATAGTGCAAGATATGAATTTACAAAGCTAAGGCAAGAAATCTGAAAGGCGAACAGGGGAAAATAAAGCAATTTAGCACGAATAAACTGTCCACCATTCTGATCAACAATGATTTGTATGCATGCGCTCATAACAATGAAAGCAATTTCTTGCCAATCCACCACAATCACAAGGGAGTTCTTGCCAAGAAAGATTTCAACCAAAGATATAAAAATCAAATAATGAAAGCATTAGGTCTTTGATATTGCTAGCTACAGTCACCATTCACCCCTCACTCCACTCTCCACAATACATATTTGATTTATCATAGCAATTAGAGAACAAAAGAACAGAGAGAAGATGGAGAGTTGAGCAAATCCATACCGAAAAGGAAAAAAATAGAGGAGAAGAAGAGCTGCGGCGGCGAATAGAGACCCACACCGGCGACGCTGAGGACAGAGGATGAAGGTGGAGAGTAGTGGCTGCAAACAAGGGTTTGAAGTTTCTAAGCTCTCTTCCTCTCACAAGACCAAACATGAACTTCAAAATTGAGAGTGAGAGGCAAGAAAAATCTGATGGTTTAAATGAAGGGCAATATAGATTGTTTAAAGCAAAAGAGATCAACAAGTGAGCAATTTCGGCACCTTCGACAGTCCAGAAGAACTGATATAGTGAAAATTTGAAAAAAAAAAATCATATCTAAACCGGTTATTTAAAATAACCGTTTAGATATATTAAAAATTAACTTTTTTAAAAAATTTAAACATATTTAAACCGGTTACAAATAATAACCGATTTAGATATGATATATTAATTATTTTTAAAATTATAAATTATTATCTAAACTAGTTAATCCTCGTACCTGGTTTAGATATATGAAGGAAATAAAAAATATTAAATTATAAATATAAATCTAAGTCGGTTATTATTTATAACCGGTTTAGATATTGAATTCTAAACCGGTTCCTTTTATAACCGGTTTAGAAATCATCATATCTTCAATCTTATTTACAAGAATGCCACCGCCCCTAATTTTTAAACCGTTGGCGCATTAACCGGTTTAGATATGTAGGTTTAAAAACAATATTTTGCTATAATGTACGTACATCTAAACTATGTAAGTTTGAAAAATTTTCCGTTGAAATATGAGAGTTTCAAGAGAAGGAATTATATATTATTTTTTTATTTATTGGCATTATATGTGTTCGTCCACTAAGAAGTACAAAATGAGAGAAAATTTGTATTATGTTTCAAAGTTGAAAATTAAAAAAAAAACTGATAAATTTAAAGCTAAAGGGTAATTTTGGTCCTATAATTTTATATAAGGTTTTAGTTCTGGTTCTTTAATTTTATAAAATATTTTTTCAATTCTCTAACCCTAATAGCATTAGTTTCAAATGATTATTTTTTTATTGATCATTGTTATTTTTTGAAAAAATTAAACATAATGTCTCAATATTTGAAATTATTTTGTCAATACGTAAAAAAGTTCAATTTTAAAAATTTTTGTTAATGAAACTAATAATGTTACAGTTAAAGAACTAAAAAGATACTTTGTAAAATTAAAGGATAAAAATAAAACTTTGTATATTGTTAAAAAATTAAAAGTGTACTTTAGCCTAACTAAAAAAATATGAATGAAAAAGTGTAAAAAAAAATTACTGTCCATTAATTTTTTAGGGAAGCTTAAATGATTTTTATATAACATTTATGTTTAAATAGGGATATTTTAGTCAAATATATATGATTTAATAGTCAATTAATAGTTACATAGATGGAAATAAATTTTAAAAGTAGTAAAGAGGTTTGTGTTTTGTAACTATTGATTCTAGATGTGGTTGTTGTTGGTTTTAGTGTCACAATTTTGAATCAATAATTACAAAAATAAAAGTAAGGGAACAACAACTAACTAAAGTTATTGTGAGTGATAGAAATTTTGTCAAAATTAAAGAACTAAAAGATACACTTTAACCTTTTTGTTTATGTAAACTTAATTATTTAGCATTTTTTAAAAAATTAAATAAATAAGTTGGCTAAAATTATATTTCAAACATGTATGCAAAAAAATTTAATGAAATAGGAATTTAATATAATAAGATCTAGATTATGTAATTTATGTTTATTTTTTAAAATTTTAAAATTCTAATACAATATTTTAAAATCATTGATTTAAATACTTCCGTGCTTAATTATTTATAGTTTCTTAAATTGGGGAGAGAGGGAGTACTCAAATAGATTATAAGCAAAAATTAATAATTTTAAATATTTCAACATGATTAAAAATAAAAAATTAAATATTTTACAATAATTAACAGAATATTTTTTAAAAATATAAATAATTGAATTAAACTGTAGGTTATAAAAAACAGATGGGTGGTCTATATAAGTTTAGCAAAATATAAGATAATTCAATGTATTTTACTCAATTTCTTTTATTTTTGATGTTAAATTGGAAGAGAGGAGAGGTGAGAGAGACAAGAAAGGAAATAGTGATAAAATTTAAATGCTCGAATTTTTATTCAACTCTTCAAAGAGCCAGACAAATAAAAAAGTTTAAATAAATAATGGAGAGGTATATAGAGAGAGCTTAAATTGAAAAATAATATACTAATAAGAGATAATAATAATAATCCGTTAATCAACTACTCCTTCCGTTCAAAAATGTAAGGTATTTTTTAAAGAGTTAGATATTCAAAAATATGAGACATTTTTAATCTTTTGAGGTATAATCATTACCTTTTTTCAAAAGAGTCCCTATTAATTAATGACTTTATATTTATAGTAGGGTGTTTTATAGGGGTAAATATGAAAAGATAGGGTTAGTTAAAAAGTAGGTAACTACTTTATTAGGAATGAGATTCAGTTAAAAATGCCTTACATTTTTAAACAGAGGGAGTATAATATAACCCTAATGTGAAAACTTAACCTAAATGAAAAATGCACAGATGTATTATCTTTAATAGTATCCTAAATTAATGCTAAATGAAATAGAAAAACTAAAGATAATGAAAAATAAATAATTTTCAAAATAATCAATAGCCAATTAAAACTGAATTTTAAAATTTCTTTTTCTTTTTTTGATTTCCATCAATTTTATTATAAATTTAATTGTTTTATATTTATTATATATGCACATATTTTAGAAGAAATGGATAAAAATTATTATTTATCATTTGTTTGTTTGTTTTTTAGCATTCTTTCTTTAGAAATTAAATAGTGAAATTGATGTGCATGTGATATATTACATATAATATATATATATATATATATAATGTAAATAAGCTAGCCTGTTGAGCTCATAACACTACTACAGAAATAGCCTTTGGTGGCATTTAAAATTTTAGTTTCGTGATGTTTATAAAATGCTATAAACTTCAATACTATAATAGGTATCAAGTAGCGTTTCATTAATTATTAAAATGCCACAAAACTTATGATAGAGCGAGGGCGTTTCTTTCTGCAAACACCACCTCTCCCAGCTTATTTTTTTAAAAAAAACCAAGAGAGATGGCATTTATTCCATATTGAAATGCCACCTGTGTTCTGCACAGAGGTGGCGTTTTCAATAAGAACAAATGCCACCTTTATGAAACAATTTTTAAAAAATTAAAAATCATACAGAGGTGGTGGTGGCAGCGTTTCTACAATTTGTAAATGTCACCTCTGTAATTTTATATTTTTTAAATTTAAAATAACATAGGTGGTATTTTTGGACTAGAGAAACACCACCTATGTTCTTTCAGAGAGGTGGCATTTCTTACATGAAGAAATGCCAACTCTATGAATTTTAGTATAAATTAAGATAGGTGGCCTTTTTCATGGAAGAAACGTCACCTAATGTGTTGTTTTTTTAAAAAATAAATTTTATAAAATATTATGTGCCAAAATTTTTCACCAAAACAACAAATTCAATAATATACAACCAGTCTAGTAATTTGCAAACAATCCAGTTATATAATAAAAAATTATACAACATATATTTGCAGTACAACAAAGTAGTATACAACTATATTAATATCTCTAAGCTCCCTAACTAGCTAGGTCAAGACATCTACAAGCCTCAAATCTTACAAAAGTATTCAACAAATAGTAAAGTTCTAGTGTCCTAAATTCAAAACAAATGATGACCCCTCTTCAATTAGGTCATAAATTTGTTCATCACTATATTCCAAGCATTTTATGTCCTCAATGTACTGCAAAATATATTAAAACAAGAAGTCATATATATATATATGTGTATATATATATAAAATTAAAAATTATATAACCCAAATAAAATTAAATAAAATTAGATAAATTTTCATACCTCAAATGGGATAAAAGTTTGACCATGGATGATCACATCCTTGATGAATTTCATAATGTAGTACCCACATTCATTATCATTTGGTTGGAAAGGGGACTAAAAAATTACCAAAAAGTAATATAAATTTATGAAGCAAATAAATTTATTTTTTCATAATTCAATAAAATCTTTCATGTATAAATTAAATATACCATAATCTTTGTCTATTGATAACTATTTGAGAAATCTTTATTTATGAAAAAAGAGGAGCTCTTTGTGACCACAAAAGCTGTTTAATGCCCTAACTAAACAGAAAAAAAATTAATCAATGCAAAAAATATATATATATATATATATGAATATGTAAAATGATTCTTATAAATATAAATACTTACTTATTGAATAACCTCAACATATTAGGATGATCTATCAGCACGCCTCCAAATAGAGGATCAAGATAATAAAGTAAAGGCAAAGGAATAGCCACAGGATTGATAACAATCAAAATCCAATGTTTCTTAAAAAATTTAAACTTTGATTATGTCTTAATAAAATTGAGGTATCTAACACAACAATTAATTAAAAAGTAATTAATAAAATACTTACCCCCTATTGTAAGGTATTAAGAATAACATATTTTTTTCCAACTTTAGCCTTTTTTGTGAATATTTCTTTTAGAAGATTTACTTGTTCAGATGCACTTAACATCGACCCATGACTAATATCATGAGGACTAATAAATAAAAATCTATTCTCTTTCTTCGTGTTTTTCAAAAAAGAAATGTACAAATACCTTGATAAATAGAAAAAAATGTATTAAAATCAATTACAACAAGAAATAAAATAATCAATATGGAAAGATGTTATGAAACAAGTACCTTATCCAAGTGTTAATAGTAAAAGCACTCCCCTATTCTTGATCAAGTATTTCCACAATAGTATCTCTATCAAGATATTCCCAGCTATCTTTACAATAGATGTCTTTTTCAAATTTTATTTCAAATGTTTGGCCATTAGCAATAACCTTCGACAAAGGAGATCAAAGAGCTTCATGACAATTATTAGCTCTTTTCATTTTTGAAGCTCCATGAGATATACTTTTTTATTTATGCATTATATTAGATTCCTTAGAAATATTACCATGTGCTTCAATGATTTTTTGTTTTTTGATTTTGACTGATTCTGTAAGAAAAAAAAGAATCAAGTCATAATTATAATTGCATCTAGAATATTTTAAGAAAGTGTGAAATATAATTACCTTATCAAATGACTCAATGAGATATAAAGGTCATGGAACAAAAGTGCCTTCAGCATCTTTAACTAATACA